ATCACCTGAAACGACAGGCATACGGATCAATGGATCAATCCATGTCGAACACGTCGATTTCAGTTTCAGTCTGTACAATCATTAACCTTGCACTTTCGCTTTGGCAAACATTGCATACCGAGGTGTCCTAGCCAATCTTCATCTACAGAGGTCAGACAATTCATCCGGTGTATGTGCCTAAAACTCTCCGTTTATACTCCTCATTGTTTGTCCGGAATCCAGTAATGTCGCATAGGCTGTGGTGTTCGAGCACCGATGGCCTATCTCTTATCATGTTCACATCACGTCGTCAAGTCTCCACACGATGCAGCAGCATCGACTGAACTGCTGCAGTATACAAGCTCTCCTCAGCACCCAGGCTCATTCTAACTGGGGAAGTAATAGATCAGGTGGATAAGTTTTGTTATTTAGACAGCTACATCACACCCGGTAGACGCATCACGGATGAAGTGTCAGCTCGCATACAGAAAAGTATCTGACCTTTGCCGGACAGTTATCGACTATCGAATACATGACTTCCCCACAGGGTCCCACTACGACTGAGTAGAAAACCTAAAATATGTGATAAACATAAACATGTTTATTTAGGATAGATAAATATCCTTGTGAGTACGACTCTGACTAGAATTAGAGTGAAACGGTATCATATCCACCTCGGTCAGTAGCCAAAAGCGGGGAAATCAATTCAGTTGAGATTCGGTTTTTGGTTGGGTAATTACTGACTAGTGGTTGGACTTACCTGAGGTCTGTCTCTCTGGACGCAGCCAAGATTAAACATGCGAATAATGTGTCCTCTTTTAAACCCGCTTTGGGCTTAACTTACGCAGTTTTTGCGCGGTCGTTTGCCGCCAATGTGGGAAACCCGCACGCAGCTTGGGTTCGTTCCCAGTAGCCAGCTTGATCTTCTCACGGGAAGATTCAATCATATACAATCCTGCAAACTTTTAGGAAGGAATTACGATGATGGCAACCCTAACCAATTGACCCTTGATGATGATTACTAGTAGGAACGAAACCGTTGTACAATACTTTTAGTGTTTTTTGCTATAAGTGTCAGGTTGACTCGGAGAGGATTTTGAGCGGCGTTGGTTCGTTCTTCCGTATTACCTAATAAATCAGTAGAGTTCAGAATATCTAATTTATACACTACCACAAACATTGTAAATATCAACTGACATGCACATAATTCAAAAGTAGTATCATCACTTACTCATCTTCATCTGCAACCCGTTTACGACCCAAATTTGCAAACGCTCTGGAGGAACTGACACTGTGAGTTGGGATCATGGTGCCCTGCTTCGTGTATACCTCATTTGGGTCCGAATAACCACGACTCTTTCGAGACAGCGAAGACGGGGGAGGAACGGCTGCCCCACCACTACGCGAAACATCCGAAGCGAGTGCACTGCTTGAGTAACCGGATCGGAAGTAGTCTCCAGGGCCTTCATCACGCAAGCGATTAGTGGACAAGCTTGTCTGAGGTCCCGAGGGTGATATAAAATTCATGCCCCATCTTCCACCTCGTTGTCGTCCGTAAGACATGAGGAAATACAAACTGCAAAGAGGATAATTCTTCAAACTAAAAAATTGATTTTAAAACGTTTGGTTGTGACAGGATAAACCAACTGGAAACTATACGAACCGCAAACGAGGGCTTCAAGTGATTATTCTGTTACGATCATTTTTGTCTTTCCAATTTATTTTACTTCGTTTGATTAAATTGACAGTAATGCAGTTAGTTTTCAAGAGATTGGTGGAGAGAGAGAAATCAAACGCCTACCCAAGAAAGATGATCGGTGGACAATAGAATAAAATGGAGAGTACACATTATTATCCTGAGCAAGAGAAAACAACTTGTTCGGGGAGAGAATGGCTTAACTATCAACATCATCATCATCATCGTACAGCGAAATACAACGAAGCGAACTTCACTGACCGCTGCCAAACTATTAATG